AAAGATGAAAATTAGAAGCACAATAAGAATGCCCTCAAGAGAAACAAAAGCTAAGAAATCTGACAATATCAAGAAGTGGCAAGGATGTGGAGTACCGGGAATTCTTAATACTCAGCAGGTTCAAAGTTTCATCAGTAGAACCCTTTGGGAAGCATGTTGATGTTGTCCTGAAAGTGTAACAGGCCCAAGCCCAACCATGCATTGTTCTCTTTCATAAATGGCCGGGAGAAGTTCTTGCCTGTTAGTGCCAGCATAGATGTATGGGAAGGTCCCAGGCAACACTGCTCCTAATAGCAGAACATCAGAAACAACCCAAATGCTTGCTCATCAACAAGAAACCGGCTAAAGAGAGTGTGAAATATTTAAATAATACAACAGAATGGCCGAATCTTAGGAAACAACGTGGAGAGGAAACACAAGTTGCAGGGACTATACTACACAAAGAGTGACAGGGCTCGAGATGCAAAATTAAGTACCACGGCATGTTCTTGGTACCACACAACACATGTGAAAGGTATGAAGAATCGCAAACGGGAAAGCCAGGAGAGGGGTCCTCCGTCCCCTGTGGAGGGGTTGCAACGGGAGCACATGGAAGCAGCTTCAGCCATGGGTCAGGTTCGAGCCAGCTTCACGCGCACAGTTGTTCAGACTAGTGGATTCTGGTTCCCAAATCTCATATACACAGAGTATATACAGATGTAGTACACATATTCTTCTGTATGTATCAATATTGCACAATAAAAATATTTAAAGAATGGAGACTCCTATCAGCAATTATGTCCACCAGGGCCAACGGCACCAGAAACTGGCCACCCCAAACTTGCTTCTGGATGAAGCACGTCAACTGCATCCGCTGTCCCGTTGGCACAGTGGCATCGTGAGTCACTCCCAGCAAAGGGAAACGAGTCTGCAGGAACGTGAGGTCATGGCTCTTACCTCCATCACCTTGGGCTGAAGTATTAGTGCTTCAGGGCTCATCCGAGGGATGTCTATGTGGATCTGGAGACGCAGAAGAAAGACACATTTATTTTACATGATGACAAACATCATTACAAGGATTACCATTAAAGCAGCAATACTTAATGATGAATGTAATTTGCCTGGCAACCTGCTCTCTCTCTGAGGATACTAATTCCCCACGTTCCCAAGCTCTCCCCTGGAGGAGGCATCCACACACATGTCCCCCTGACCAGGCTCACCCAGTCCCAGGATGACCGGCTTGCTCGACACTTGCCCCACCAAGCAGTGGTTGTTGCATGATTAGGAACAGAGCGGGCCCTCAGCTATTTAGTAACATAATCCATAGCAATTAGTAAACATTGATTTTCAGCCTCTGACACAGAGAGCAATTCGAGTGCATCGACAGTGCACAAGTTTTCAGCTGTGACAGCTTCTTTCTGGACACAGGCCACATTTCTCTCCACTTCACGAAGTCCTTGGGGAATCTAGAACACTTCTCAGAGGAAGCATTTGAAGGTCTCTGCCAGAGTCAGCTGATTCTTGCTTGGCCATGGTCTGACATGAGAGCCACAATGAAGTCCCCGACACTCCAGAGGAGGACACTTGCAGGTTCAAGAAGCAACCAAACAAGAGCAGTCAGAGCTTGAGCTGGCATCATGGGCTGGCTCGCAACAGCCCACGTGAACATTCCACACCAGCCACACAACCCTCACTCCCACGTATCCAGGACAATAGCCCAACAGGCTGAGGGAAGATGTGCACATTTTGAAGCCAAGAGGTATTCTACGATTTTGTTTCATTTCACCCCATTCTTGCAAATGCCCACAGAGGATTCTAACACCCAGGAGACTGGGACAATCTTACTCTGCCACTTATTAGCACCGTGGCCTTGAATAAAGCACTTGGGATCAGGGGCCCAGCTTCTTTGTTTACAAAATGCCTGCTGGGAATCCCCCCAAAGGTTACCGGTGAAGATCAAGTGAGACTGCAGGTCAACAGCCTAAGCTGAAGCGCACGCGCATCTCTGCTGGGGAAGACCTGCGGGCAGCAGTGCTGCCGGGGAGGGGTGGGGAAAGGGTGGAGGTGTCCAGCAATGCTCTATCCAGAGAGGCACATGCAGGAGCCCAGGCACAGGCAGGGACGAGAGTCTTCAGGCCTGTCACCCGGGAGTCCTGGAAGGCCATCCTCAGAGCACTGCTCCTATACAGTTGCACTCGTGTGGGCACACACGTCCCCAGCATGAGCACCATAAGCTTCTGCAGGGCAGGAACGGGGCTCTGATCCACCTCTGCATGCCCAGGATCAGCACAGCCCACCTTTACACAAGAGCTGCCTGCCACGCGTTTATCAAGCAGACAAGACAGCGCACGCGTTGGCCCCCAGCCACTTTTGTCAGGAGGAGGGGATCCAACATAGAAAGGGGGGCACTCTGCAAGGCTGGGCAGACGGGGCTCTGTGTGCCCCTCCATCCCTCCCACCTGTCCCCCATCATGCACAGGACTGAGCAAGCAGGAAAAAGGTCTATAGAACTTACCTAGATAGGGAAAGACACACCAGATGAATCTTTTAACATATAGACTGCCACACCAGAAAAAAAAAAATTTTTTTCCTTGGGGCCATGGAGTTTTATTAAAACAATCCTTTCTAATTTGTTGTTTTCTTTATTGTTTTCTGTGCGTGAGTTATATGCAATACAATTCACGTTTTTAGAATTAAATTGTCAATATTAATTTTAAACAATGTGAACATCAACAAGTAAGATTTTCACGAATCAAC